GTGCGGGCGCAACACTGAGGGTTGCGATCCCGTTGCCGGTCCCCGGTACGGGCGCAACACCAAGGGTAGCGATCCCGTTACCGGTCAATAAAAAAAGACAAAAAGGAAAAAAAAAAGAATGGCCTTGATAGACTTCCAAAAGTTCTTGGAAAAATAGGATTGAGAGATGATGCAAATCTTTCCATGAACTTTTTGAAGTACCCTCGTATATTTATCTATTTTAAGGAAGGCTTACAAGATTATGGAGGTAGGCAAGTCCAAAGTCTTCAAGGTGGATCAACAGGCTGGAGACCCAGGTAGAGCCAATGCTGCCATTCAAGTTCAAAGGCCATCTACTACAGAATTCCCTCTTAATCAGGGAAATCGGTCTTTTGTTCTTTTCAGTCCTTGAGCTGATTAGGTTGGCCCACCCACATTGTGGAGGGTAATTTGCTTTACCTAGCACCCACTGATTTAAATGTTAACCCCATTCAAAAACAGTCTCACAGAAAAAAAAAAAAACAATAATATGTGACTACATATGTGGGCTCCGTGGCCCAGCCAAGTTGACAAATAAAATTAACCATTACACCTGTCTTTAAAAAAAAAAAAGAAAGAAAATGTCCTTGATGATGTAGCAAGAATGATTACTTTATCACCTGTTGACCCCGGAGTATGTGTCTGTCTCAGCCTGTGTGTGGCAGTGGGAAGCATGCACAGAGCCCTGCTGCAGACTGAAGCAAGCAGCTGTCTGAAAACTCTGCTGCAACTGAGTCGGGACCACTTTCACTTGAAAGAACAGCTGACAGACTGACCCTGGTTATTCAGCATTTCTCTGGTTGGTTGGCATTTTTTCAAAGATGAGTGAAATGAGCTGAGACTTCAAGGAAAGCAACTGGCAGAGTTTGTTGCCAAAGATAAAATTCTTGCTTTCTACTGAAATTGAAATTTTGGAAAACTTGTATCTGCCATATTGAGTATGAAAGACTATTGGACATTCTTCCCTTCCCAGTAGAATCTGTGAGAGGCGGAATTGCCTTCCTATACTCCAGCCAGGGCAGTGCATCACAACAGACAATGCAGATGTAAATATGAGAAGCCAGCTGTCTCCCACTAAGCTGGGCATTAAAGAGATCTTCAAAAATGTCACTGTTACTCTTCTTGCTAAGTGTTTCTTGTTTGGGGAAATATAGTAATGTTTCAAAAAATGTGCTCTTTTTGCTAGCAGGTAATGGGTTTATTGTTGTTATTTTTTTTTTTTTTCCTTTTTGTCTTTTTTCGTGTCCGGCAACGGATTGCAACCCTCA